GAACAAAGTTAGTTAGTTAGTTAGTTGCAGAACCTCATTGCTATTGTTTTCTGCCATCATGATTCCTGCTGTACTTGCTGAATTTTGATGGTGTTACCAATATGAACATCAATCTTACTGTCGATGTTGCTGTTGTCTTGGGTGTTCGTGTCGGAAACCGTGGATGGCAATCTCAAAGAAGCATGAGACTTCCGTTTCACCGGAGAGCCCCAAGCAGCATCTAAAGCCCACACTTGGGTGTCAGGGAGTTTGCAATAGTGTTTGCTGTTGTGCCCCCCTAGAATTAAAACTAGATGCCTGATATTGTCAATGTTGCGAAGGGACGGCAGCATGTTGTCTACTGTTGGCTTTAGGGTCGGGTTTCGGTTAGGTGTTATGGGTGGGATTCGGGTGTTGAGGGCTTCCCATTTCTAATGTTCTTGAGGGTTTCGGACTTGGCGTTTGGGTCCTTCTGCGGCAGGCCGCGGCATTCTTAAAGATCTACCCAGAATCTACCTGCCGCTCGTTCGACGATCTGGATTTTCACGGCAATGCAATGTGTTTTCATTGGAGATGATGACAGGGTGAGCACGAGATTCAAGCACCTTCGAGCGAGTGCTTCAGATGTTCATAAACTAGGTAGTTCTAGGCAGGGTTTGGTGGGTTACAGCTTAAACTTCAGAGTGTAGGGTTTGCCGTAGTACGTACTTGTGGGCAGCCCCTTTATCAATCAACCGTATCGGTAGGGGTTGCCGCAGCCCCCCTAAACGGTACGTCCGAAACCAGGATCCTTGGTACGCTTCCCAAAAAGGTAGCGTTCTGCATTGGGCTTCCGGGTGAAGGGTCGTTTTGTTTGTGTTGTGTTTTAGGGCCCATCGACCCTGAGCTACAACATTGTTCGCAAGAGTAAGACTAGATAAAGCATTTAAACACCTATAATTTCAATCTCGAGCACCTTATAGCTCTCGGTATACCCACCTCCAAGCTGATCATGCTCCCCAACCTACCCCAATGCCTTAATTCAGGGGTCTTCCTTCCTTCCACCTGGCCAAGATTCGAAATGGTTGGAGTTTAGGATTTAGGGCTTAGGGTTTCCTTCGGGGGCCTCCCAGGTTACATCGAGACGCCCTCTGGTGCTCATGACAAGCATAACTTGCGCGGCTGCACGGCCGCACGTGACGCAGGGTTGTCATTAACAACACCCCAAATATACACATCCCATAGCCCAATCTACGCAGACCAAAACAGAAAAACAGCACTAGCACGGAAACATTTCCTGATTGGGACCCTGAGGAGGGTGGGGGAGGGGGGGTTAAGGGGCCTCAAGACCAATTGCCGGAATGAAGTGGATAGTGGTCAGGGTTGCCTTCCAGATAACCAAAAGTGCCGTATGCTGCTGGCATCTAGATGAAATGAAAGAGCATTTTGCTAAGGTTATATCCACGCCTACCTGCCTCTGACTTGTCTTTCGGCACACGTGAAACTATCGTGATAAGCTCCACTCACACGGATGTTGATGCAGTTGCGGTACTTAAGATCTGAGATCCCATCCTTCTGACAGCATAAAGTCTGGAAACATGAACCCTGTTTGTTTAGGATTGACCCTGAATGCCAGCCCATATACAGTGGAAACAAGAGGTGGACTCCAATTGAGGTTCGACCGAGGAACTCGTTTATCTTCGATATTCGCTCTGTGACATGGTTTTCATTGTCATAAAACTGCATTCCAAAACCCTAAACCCTAAACCCTAAGCCACCACACTATCAGCAACTGTAAACGGCGTCCGAGACCGGCCCAGCGACTGCCAGCCGAATTTGCTCAATCCTACCTAGAATGGTGGCCTTCATAGTTACCTATATTATTTGGGGGGGGGTCCTTATTATTATTATCGTGCAATATCCTCAAGAACAGTATTCTATTTGTTAAGGTGCCTACATTGGGTTAGTGTTCGGGTGGTAAATTCGTTCAATGTAGGAAGCTGATTAAGAAACCCTGGCCCTATAACCCCAATATATTAGGGTTCATAACAAGAACCCTAGTAAAGGCCCAGGGTTTCTTAATCAGGTTCCTACATAGTTGAAGATTTACGGTCCCTCTGTATGTAAAGT